AGCCAGCCCCCGCGGCCGGCCCACCGCTTCCCCAGCACCCGGACCTGCTGCGCGGCTCGCCCCGCACCCTGGGCTGCCCAGTCACCGTGCGCCGGCCTCCGGCTGGACCCCGCGGGCCTGCCGCCCCGGGTGAATGGAAGGGGGAGGCGTGGGGAGCGCGCAGTACGTGGGCCCAGGTGGACCCTACTCTGCTCCCCGGCGGGACGGTTTCCCAGAGACCAAAAGGGAGGGTTGGCCTGGCCGAGTGGTCGCTACTGCTTGGCGGGCACAAGGGGGCAGCCGTGTCTCCCCTCTGGCTGCTCCAGCCCTGGCCGGGCCTGGGAGGCTTGGGGGGCCCGCGGGCCCAGTGAGGGGCAGCACATGGTTTTTGCAAGTTGTGGACACCGGCGGAAAAGCTCATGCCTTGACCGGTTCTCTCTTCCCTGCTCCGGAGCTTGTGTGGCCCTGAGCAGTCGCTGGTCCTTTGCGCCTCACAGAAGGGTCCAGCCACTTGGGATTTCCAGGCCTTTCCAAGGGCCTGCTGCCTGAGATAGCGAGGCGTGGAGCCTAGCCAGCTTCTGCCTCCTGTTGGACAAACTGTGACCTTCTCTTCTCCCAAGAGGGTCAGGAATTGGGAGCTCTTTGCTGAATTTCAGTACATCTGGAGCGCCTGATGCAGCCACACAGCAGCCCCCCATGGCCCCACATCCATCTAATGGGATAAGATTGCCCCCATCTTATAGATGAGGAAACCAAAGCTCAGAGGACCAGAAGGGACTAGCCTCACCAGGACCAAGGGCCAAACCCAATCAAAACCACATCCCTGTGTGCCGTGCCCCCAGAACCAGGTTGCTCCTGTCTTCCACCTGTTGCCTGTCTGGGACCCTCAAGAGCAGGACTGGCCGTCGGGGGTGCCGAGAACTGCCGGGTGACCAATGTTTGCTGCTTTCCTGGCCGAAGCCTGCTGACCCTGGCGTCAGCTATGGAGGCCAGCAGGGAGTACACCCCCACCGTTGTGCAGCTGATTTATTAGAAAAACGTTTGCTAACCAAGAAGTCCCTTTCTGGTGTGACACCACCATCTATCTGTTTAGTCCTAAAAACACAGTAGTATCCTATGAACCAATCTAGGAAGTGCATCCTAAGAGGTGTGATGGTAAGAAGACACTTGGGCTGAGAAGGAGGGGGACAAGGGGACTTCCCAGCGAGGGCTGGGGACATCGTCGTTCAGGAGCCCTTCCAGCATTCACACGCATCTCTGCATCTCCAAGGCCATTAGCACAGAACTGGGGAGCTGGGATTTACATGCAAACCCCCTTGCCAGGAGGCCCCCAAGAGAGCCTGGGCCCGGAGCTTGGAACGCCAGCCACTTCTATGAGCAGCCTCCACCCTGACTCACTTTAATATTACAACAATTTTTCACGCTGGAGCTGAAATAGTGCAAAAAATGGGGCTGCTGTAATTGTTGTTAGATTGTGTGTCAGCCTGATAAGATGTAACAAATATTTTCCTCCCCACCAGGGTCTGTTTCCCTCTTGGTAATGGATGGAGAAACTTCTCATAGTCGGCGAGGGATCGGTCGTAAAAACTTCGCCTGGAAGATTAATGTAATAATCACAGGCCTTGCTGGAAAAAATAGGAGGAAAATTAAAATAACCCAACCTTCCTACTTATCCAGAACCATCTCCCTCACTGGAGCACAGATGAGCGAGGTGGGCCAGCTCCCTGGGCACCACCAAGGCCAAGATCCTGGAGGAGCTGGAGCAGGGGGCCTGTGACCCCCCTCCCCGCCGCACCTCCTCACCCAGACTTGCTCTGGCCATCCAGGTTCCCGGAGCAGCGGGGAGGACTCTGTCCTCACCTGTGCTGGAGAGGTTTGCCAGCACCCCTGCTTCTATCCTGCTCCTCAAACCCTGTGGAAGGTTTGGGGGCTGGGGGGAGAGGCCCCAGCTGGGGCAGAGCCCGCCCTGGTCCTCTGGGGCATCCGAGGCAAGTCAGCGTCCTCACACCTGCCCCTGCTGGCCTCACCTGCCTGGTACGGAGCTCAGATCTTGAAGGCCCCGCTGCCAAGTCAGCGCAGAGGAAGGTGGTACAGCCGTGGGGTTAGGAGCACGGCCTCCAGCCTGGCTGACTGCAAATGCTGGTTCCACCTCTTACTAGCTGACCAGCACTGAACCTGTCCCAATCTCCTGGGGCTACCGTGAGAACATGGAAGGGGATGGCTCCAGTACCCGATAGCTCTTGCCACACCTTAGGTGTCATTCTGCTTTCCTACCGTGGCTTGGGTTGGGAGGCCAGAGGCACAGGCACAAGGACAGAGGATCTGGGCAGCCCGGGCAGGCTGCAGAGTTCAGCCCTGACTTCAGGAAGCGTCTCACCATCCCCCACCAGACCCGGTCTCCTCCCTGCCCCCACTTCCCCCAGGACCCCCATGCCAGCACCTCCCTCAGGGTCCGGGCCCACAGAAGATCCATTCTGACAACACAGATTAGCTGGGGCCTTCCTGGGGCGTGAGTATGGCCAGGGGACCCTCGGAGGGCTAGATGGACACCCACAGCATGACCTCAGCCCTCCTGCCTGGAGTGTCCTGGACACGCTCGGGTGGATACCACTCATGGGACAACAGTTGCGCCTGCCCCACAAGGCCCTCATGGCTGACTGGGATTAAAGAGCCCTGACTGGCTCAAGATACCCATCTTGGTGGGTCCCCTCTCCTGTCCACTGAGAGCGCAGAGGCCCTGCGCATGTGGGCAGAGAGCCAACGAGCCTTTACTGAGGCACGGCTTCTGTGGCTAAGCCGGCTGACGAGGCCTGGGCGGGGCAGAGGCAGAAAGTTGTGCTTATCCTACCAGGCAAGATGTTCCACTGTGCTGTCAGGGCTGCCGTTGCCCCTTCCTCTCAAGGGGCTGAAAGCCCCACTCGGTGGACTAACATGTCAAAGGGACACAGGAGCCAACCAAAAGAGCTCTCAACAGTCAAAACTGGACCAATCTGAGCCACAGAATAATGTAGTATTGGATTATAACCCCAAGCATATGATAAATATCCCTGACCCACACTGATATAAATGATTAATACACAAATGGGAGACAATGGGGAGAACAGATACCTCCTGTGCAGAAGAATTCCAAATAATTTATGTAGATACCCAGCCCTCAAGAAGATGGAGCAGAGGGGCGCCTGGGTGGCTCAGTCGGTTAGGCATCTGCCTTTGGCTCAGGTCATGATCCCAGGGCCCTGGGATCGAGCCCCGGGTCAGGCTCCCGGCTCAGTTATCTGCCTCTCCCTCTAGCCTCCCCCGCTCCTCATGCATGCACTCTCTCTCAAATAAATCTTTAAAAAAAAGGGGGGGAGGGGGTGGAGAACTCCCCAGCCTTACATGTGGGCTGCTTAGTGACTCCTTCCAAAGAGGACACCATGGAGGATGCACAGGACACCCAGGTGACTGCGGCCAGCCATCAACAGGGGGAGGTCACACGGATACGAACCCTCAGTGCGGTGTGATGGCGAGGGCACTGCACCTCGGTGGTCTGCCACCAAGAACCCAAAACCCTGGGTGACCACGAGAAACCCATCAAACCAACCCGCTGCAGGATATTCAACAGAACACCTGACCAGCACGCCTCTTTCCGTCGAGGTAGAAAAAACAAGGAACTGTCCTAGCCAAGAGGAACTGAAGGAGGGCATGATGGCTAAACGTGACGTGGCACCCTGGGCGGGATCCCGGGACAGATGAGGCCGCTCAGTAACCCAGGGGAGGTGAGTAGGGTACACCACCACATTAACTTCGGCTCATTAGCTGGGACAATGTGCCATACCAGCCCTGTGGGATATTAACAGTAAGCAAAGCGGCATGAGGTGTATGGGAACTCCCTGTACTATCTTCACAAAAATTCTGGAAATCTAAAATTATTCTAAAATACAAAATTTATTTTTAAAAAAATCAAGAGAGAGAGACAGGTCATCAAAATAACCTACAAGGATTTATTAGAAAACATGCCAGGTGAGGCAGGGTTCCTTCAAAGCAACCGCAGGAGAAGTTACGGTAATTTAAAAAGCAACACTTTCCACACTGAGCTGGTGCTGACCGCCGTGGCCGGAGGGGACAGAGCCCAAAGCGCAGGGGGAGCCTCCTGCTCGCAGGCGGCACCCAGCCAGGCACGCCCGGAGTCTCTCCGGAACACCTCAGCTGTCTTCACTTCATGTACTTATCCTGCTGGTCAGCCAGGATTTTGGCCGAGGACTTGGCATCGTAGAAGAGCTCACTGATTTCCTCGACGTGCTCTTTCTCGATACTGTCCTTCCCATTGATCTTAGCCAGCAAGTTGGCTGGGGTCAGCAGCTGCACCGAGTACCTAGAGTGACAGGGGCCAGGGCAGGGGTGAGACGGGGCCACGGGTGGGAGACCCCTCACCACACCAGCAAGGCCTGCCGTCATGACCCCATCAGAGGAGGGAAGTCACCAGCACGACACATCCTAGCCCCCAAATCTCTGTCAGTCTAGTTCTCTGTAACAGCAGTAACTACACTGCTAGTTCAAAGAGACCACAGGGGCGCCTGGCTGGCTCAGTCGGTTAAGCGTCTGACTCTGGATCTCAGCTCAGGTCTTGATCTCAGGGTCGTTGAGTTCAAGCCCCATGTTGGGCTCCACACTGGGCGTGGAGCCTATTTACAAAAGTAAATAAGGGGCGCCTGGGTGGCTCAGTCGTTAAGTGTCTGCCTTCGGCTCAGATCATGATCCCTGGGGTCCCCGAAGCCTATTTCTCCCTCTCCCACTCCCCCTGCTTGTGTTCCCTCTCTTGCTGTGCCTCTCTCTGTCAAATAAATTAATAAAATCTTAAAAAAAAAGTAAATAAAATAAAATCTTTAAAGTTGGGGGGGGGGAACCACAAACTGGTGTACACAGGCGCAGGCCAGAAATGCTAAGGACCAGACTGGGACACTGCCCACAGCAGGCAAATGAACACACAGCCAACTAAAAGCATGTTCCCCCTGCAAAGGCACGAACTCTGGGAGTTTTTAGAGCACCGCTCCACCCAAATAAAACAGCTTGCAGTTCTGCTTCAACCTTGGAGCAAGGAACAGACTCAAAGGGAAACAGAAATAGGGACTGGGGTCATGACTTCACAAGCACTAAGAGGGACATCCTGCAGGCAGCTGGCTTCGGACCACTGGTGAACAGTCAGGAGAGCAAATCTGTGTCCGCACTCGTCCTTCCTCCTCCCTGCCCGCCTCAGCCTGGAGAAGAGCCCCACGGGAGGGGCCGAGCACAGCCTGGCCAGTGAGCCGTCTGCCTTAGACCCTGATCTCGGGATTGTCTGTTGCCTCCACCAAGAAGGCTGGCAAGCTCTCCACACGGGAGCATCTGCTACAGGACAAGGGGACCTAACCTGTTACTCTAGCTCTATGAGCATCATCACTTGAATATTCTGCATTCTAAATCACAGTGCCCAGGACAAGACCCATCATAGCAATGAGGGCAGACATGGTCCTATGCCCTGGGAGAGGGATCCGCCTTTATGTCCCAGGGCCCTCCGGTGGCCCCACTGGGCCCTTGGGCAGGCACCAGCAGGTGGGGAGCAGCTCCGGGCAGATGCGCTCACCTCAGAGTTGTCTTGGTACCGATCTCCCCCAGGTGGTTCAGCGCCTCCTCACTGATGTTGATTCCTTCTGTCTGGGCTCGGATTTTAATGATCTTTTGGAGGAGAAAGACCATGATCAACAGTGACTGACCTCAAGTGTCCCCTTTATCAAGTGCTTTAAAAACGACCTTGTCCCATGTGTCTTGTCCTGCATCATCAGTGCTGAAGAGGCCCAAACCCGGGCTGGAGGGGCAGAGAGCTGGCCTCTGCCCAGGACTTCTGGCCCGGCACACCTCGGGGCTCCAGCCACACCACGTTCTGTGTGAACAGCTTACAGCCTGGGCTCACAGTGACTAGAAGGCAGCTGGTACCCCTGGAGGTGTGCGCCAGGATAGCTCAGCCCCTGCCTCCCCAGCCTCCCTAATGCAGTTCCTAGATCTGGAGAACACAGGCCCCTCCGAAACCTGCCAGGGCTCCCTCCAGGGCTCTAACCTTCCTCCCCAGCATGGGCACCACCACCTATAAGCACTCAGGCAAGAAGAGACATTTTTTATTTGCTTGATAAATACGATGGTTAAATAAATCAAAAAAGTTACTTTTAAAGATTTACCAGCCCTCATAACATCACTGGGAGATATCTAATCTATCACGAAGAGGCTGACGCTTGTTGCAGTGTGAAGATCCTGGTGAAGCTGAGGGGAGGCGGGCTGGCGGCGGGGCCGCTGTAACACACATGGCCCCAGGATCCTGCAGGCGCACCAGCACTGAGTGATAAGGGGCAGCCGGGATAATGATGTTGTGTGTTGGGGAGCCGAGATAACTCGAGGACTTCGAGCCTCATATAATACAGGAATTTTTCACTTTGGCAGCTTCGTAAACAAGATATCAAGAAGCCCTTGTTTAAATTAAAGCCATAAAAACACCCAAGGTAGAGGAATAGGAAATGGGAAAGACTGAGCCCCCAGCTAAAGCCTTGTAAGGGGAAGAGAGGGACCAGAGGTTCAGGAGCCAGACTCTGAATTCACACCGGCCCTGAAGCTCTGAGGCAGAGACCCACTGGGGCAGGACACTCAGTGTCTGGGAACTCCGGTGAGGGCACCTCGCATGTCCGCTGCCGTGAATGGGGAAAGTCGTGCTCCGGAGGAAAGTCAGGTCTCGCAGAACTGGACAAGGGCAGAGGCCAAGGTAGACGAGGCTGCACGAGCCAGGGCAGGTGGCACGTCTGCCGCAGGCCACTGGTGCCGCAGGGCGGAGGGCAGGTGCTCGCAGGGAAGTTCCATCTGGTCCAAAGAGACTCAAAACTTAAGACTTCTGTATGAGATGTCCCAATTTCTAAATGTTGGCAACTTGTTTGAGTCATTCACAATCACAGCACTGGCTACATAGAACTTTCCATTCAGCCAGTGGGCTGCCAGGTATGACCTCTGCCAAAAGACTCTTAGCTTGTGCATGAGGAGTTCCAATGTCCAGGGGCCAAAGCTAAATGTAGCCGAGGCAAGGGAAGTTACTGGATAGGCCTAAGGATGGCACAAAAAAGAGCAGGAAGAGAGATCCCTGCTCCTGGCTCCAACCACAGGAGTCCCCTCTGACCACACCAGCCAGAGTCAGAGAGGTTTGTGCTCTAACAGAAAAGGGCTTTGCCCTGACAGCTGGGTATTAAGGAAACCTCCAGGTCCTGCCAAGAAAAATGTCCTCCGGGGGACTTCGGAAACTCTAGGGAGATGCAAATACTGAATCCGAGAGCCTGGTCAAGGGGAGAGCTTCAGCCCAGAGCATCTGGCCTTCAGCAAGTTGCACAGCATTCAGAGTCGGGCTTCAGGAATGTCAGGGCCACTCTGCTCTCACTCTCTCTCTCTTGAGAGCAGGTCAGAGCAATCCCAAGAGCTCCTGTTTCAGACTGCTCGGAAACGGACAGTTCATAAATTAGATCTTTAATCATTTAATAACCTGCAGGGATAGTTTATGAGGGTGTCAGCACTGATGGCAGAGTACACAAGTTACATTTACTTTGTTTTTTTAAAAACCTACCCAGGCTCCAGTAAAAATGCTGAGGTTATCCCTTGAGCCCATCAGAACAAAGCAAAGCGTGTCCTGGCAGCTGCTGTGACCTCTGCTCACCCTCCTGAGCCAAGAAGGGAACCAGCCCAGGAGCCAGAAGCACAGTGCAGAACTTTCCAGGAGAGCTCAGACCCTGTGCTCCAGGGTCGAATGGAGGCAACAAAGGTGAACTGGCTCTGAGTGGGGTCCCAGCTCCGCAGCTTATCTCTGTGACCACAGGACCTTTGTAGTTCGGGAGCCTCAAAGCCTGGTTACTGGGAGCTGTGGTAAGGCCCCCAGCGGGTAATGGTGAACACCTGTAAGCCATTAGTAGCAGTAATAACTGCGTTGGGACAAAGGATGGCCAGCCCGGTCCCCTCCCTCAGTTACTGTCACTCAGTCCTCACAACAACCTGGAAAAGAGAGAACAGACCTTCCAGAGGACAAAGAAGGCCAAGGATCACAGAGGTGTGCCAGTGGCTCAAGTCACGCGGCCACGAAGCACCTCAAGCGGGTGGGGCTGCCTCTCCTGGCAGGACGACACGGGGCTCCTGTCCCCACAGTAAGGATGCGGGGGCAACCAACTTTTCTTTTGCTTCTGCCTCTGCTTCTGTTCAGTGAATGCCTTGGCTTCAACCTAGCATTCATCCAGGAGCCGGAGACCACGATCTGGTGCCAGGGCCCCGGCCATGGACACCATGTCCCCAACGGTGCGCCCGTGGCCGCCCTGCACTCTTACGGCTCTGGTGGTCCCCAGCTCCCTACATCACCATGGCACTGGCGGGCGCTGGCCAGGCTGGGGGGGGCGGGGACCATGGTGAGCAGGGGGCTGCCAGGATGTGCCCTGGAGAGGCCCTCAGAGCTCCACAAGGAAAGGCCCCTCACAAACTGCCACAGGGAACCCACCCCCAACTGAGCTATGTCTAGCAGGTGGGAGCTAGTGGCCCGGTGAGGAAGAACATGGGCTTCTGGACGAGGCAGCCTGGACTCCGGTTTGTCAGTCCTGTCACTTACTGGCCACCGACAAGCTTTATGAACTTGGGCAGACGAGTGGGCCTGGGTCTCTGCGTTCTCATCTTTAAGAATGACAGTGATAACAGCTCTCCCTCCTCACAGGTAATGGGGAGCAAATGGAATCACATTGGCTCAGTGTGTCCACAGGCCCAGCATGACATCCAACAAAGAGGGCCTGTGCTCTGTGAGAGGAGAGGGTCCAGGCAGGGCCCGCTGAGACATCAGTGCAGCCCTGGTCCACCTGATCTGTGGTCACACGGACCCCACAGTGAGAGACCTACACCAGCAGCGAGACTCTCTGGCACAGGGTGGGCCGGGCAAGGCCACAGCACAGCAGTGCTGCCCCAGTGGGACACCGACCTAGGGCGCAGCCCACCGCTGAGCACGTGGCCTGGGCTCCGCACCCAGGGCTTGCCTCTCAGGGACTGAGCCATACACAGGAAGAGAGGGGATCAAGCACTACCTGGCAGTACCAGGAAGAGGACTAGAAATTCTAAGTGTAAAGTGCCTGGGCACGTGGTACTCCAACTCCAGATCAAGCAAGAGACGAACGCTGTGGGGAGAGCTGGGACGGTGCCCCTTGGGGTAAGGCCCGACAGCAGACACCTGCTTCATTTCCCATCCTCAGGCCTAACGCAAATCCAGCTCGCACAGAATTCTGAGCATACACTCCGTGTCAGGTACACCTCCTTCAGCCTCTTATAGGTTAGTTTTAGGACCACCACTTCCAGGTACCCCTCTAAATTGTGTGACCCTGCTTCACCATCATCTCTATGGCCTCCACAGCCCCCAGGAGACCTGCCACTAGTCACACTGGTTGCAGCAGATAGGCTCTCGGCCCCTCCAGGTTCTGTGCCCTTTTGGAGCCAGCCTGCTGTGGGTTCTGGTGGGACGAAGCACTTGGCTTTGCCTACTCAGCAGAAAAGGCCTCGGACAGGGCCTGGTCTAGACACCAAGAGTGACTGCTAAATCATATCTTATTGCCTCTGTCCTACAGCTGGTGGCCTCCCTAATGGCTGTCATCAAGTTGATTTTTTCACTATCCCTTTCCTAAAGTTTATCAGAATGCATGTAGTAGAAGAGACAACAGCCAGGACCCACAGACCTTAGCTGAGGTTTGGGGATACCTCAGGCAACATCTCATCAGCCCACCCATCTTTCGGACGGGAGGACTGAAGCCCCATACTATGACTTGCCCAAGTCCAGCAGCTAAGTGCCAGGATGGTGGTGGGAGCCAGGTCTGCTCCGTGGATACCTTTCTGCACAGCATCAGGGAACGCTAGGAGTAAATGAGGGGAGAAGAGGGAAGGGCGGGGGAAGGGAGGCTCACCTGTTTCATTTCCTGTGGGGTATACAGCATGGTCCGGATGATCATCACGCGGTCCAGAAGGTCAAGAGGGATGCCATGAGGAGAGGTGATGTCTTCAGTACCCCTGCAAGGGCCAAAATGATCACATCACCCAGGCCTCTCTGAGACCAGAAACTGGATACTGAAAACGTGGCTGAGGTACTCACAATGATAAAGCAGGCAATTCACATCCTGAGTCAACCCATGACCACGGAGTGAACCAACTAACATTCAGGTGGCATCAAAAACAACTTCCTTATTTTAGCAAATGTCAATACAGTAGGAAATTTGGGAAAGAGGAAAAAAAAGGCCACCTAAAATCCTATTAAAAATATTCATATAGATATTTATCAAATTTTCATATAGATGTCTTTATAAATCACACTAAGTGTGTAGATTTTTTTTGCTTTTGTCCATGCTGCTTCAGTCTTAATAACCCATCAAGGGGGCACCTGGGTGGCTCAGTCAGTTAAGTGTCTGCCTGCTCAGGTTGTGATCCCAGGGTCCTTCCTGGGATGGAGCCACACATCCCCACATCAGGCTCCCTGCTCAGTGGGGAGTCTGCTTCTTCCTCTGCCTCTGTCCTCCCCACTGCTCCTGCAGGCACGCACTCTCTCTCTCAAATAAATAAACAAAATCTTAAAAAAAACAATAATCCATCAAGTATTTTCCTTAACCCAAACTGTTGGGCATTTAGGTAGTTTCCAACTGTTGCTATTATTAATGATGTTTGATAAACAATTTCATGCATACAGCCATAAACATTTCCTCAGCAACTCTCAGAGTACCTGCTACAATCCTGAATATGTTTGAATGAATGAGTGAACTAATTTCCACAGCTACATGAGTGATCTGATCTCAGTGCATTGTAACCAGCACAGGGTGTTCTAATTCTTAAACATTTTGCTGCTTTAATGGTTTAGAAAAAGAAAGGGTGACACTTTGTTTGAATTTACATTTCCTTGATTATTAGTGAATCATTTGAATGTTTCCCTTAGATCCATTAATTATTTTCTTGCCTTTTGTGAACTGTCTAATCATGTCCTTTGTGCCTATTTTTCTCTCGAATCCTTAGCCAAGCCATAGGAAGAGCGGCCCAGGAGGGAGCCCTGCCAACCCGTGAGGCCACGAGACACCAGCTGCCCAGCAGGAGGCATGCCGAGCAGAGCTGGTAGCACACAAGGTCGGCTTCGGCCGCTGTGTCTGAAAGCCCAACGTGCTATGCTGTGCGCTCCTGCCTCAGCCTCCAAGAGTCGCAGCAGCAGCTCGATGTCAGCACTGACTCTGGCATTCCTAAACTTACGGCAGACTGCAGAGTCTATGGGGTCATAACTCATCAGTAGAACAGAGAACAAGGCAGGTCATTTGGATTTAGTTGTTAATACTACCAGAATATTCAGTTTCAAATATAAGTGAGCATTCAAGAAATACAACTTCAGTAAAGAAATCTAGCTATTGAAATTCTATCCAGGGATGCCTGGGTGGGTCAGTCGTTAAGCGTCTGCCTTCAGCGCAGGTCATGATCCTGGGGTCCTAGGATCGAGCCCCACATCGGGCTCCCTGCTCGGCAGGAAGCCTGCTTCTCCCTCTCCCACTCCCCCTGCTTATGTTCCTTCTCTCGCTGTGTCTCTCTTTGTCAAATAAATAAATAAAATCTTAAAAAAAAAAAAATTCTATCCAGTTGAAGTACAAATGTATACTTATTGCAAGCATAAAATGCTCTGATGCACATTACAACAGAATGCTAAGTGAAAGAAGCCAGTCATAAAAGGGCAGATATTGTAGGATTCCACTGGAAGGGAATACCTAGAAAAGGAAAATTCATAGACACAGAGTACAGTGGAGGTTACCAAGGGCTCAGAGAAGGGGAAGATGGGACTCACTGCTTAATGGGCACAGTTTCTGTTTGGAGAGATAGGAAAGTTTTTAAGACAGGTGGTGGGCATGGTTGTACAACTCTGTGAATGCAATTAATGCCACTGAACTGTACACTTAAAAATAACTAAAATTGCAAATTCCGTTATAGCAATTTTCCCAAAATAAAAACAATTCAAAGAAAGAATAAAATGCTACATTTAATGAGTAATTGTTAAATCTAACATGAAAAAACAACTAAGACCTTTTAAAATAAATAGGGAAATAGACTGGTAGCAAATATAAATATTAAGATAACTTTAGAGAAAACAAATCTTTTCCACCAAAAAATATTTTTAAAATAACAAGGAAAAATTATAAAGATTAAATTCTATCATGATTCAACTCTCAGTATTTGGAATGCTTACAATCTTTACACTCAGCAAAATAACCTTTGAAAACTACAATTAATTTTTAGGTATCTAATTCCGTTTAGGAGATAAGTTTGGTTTTTTTAACTTCTACTTTGGATTTTTCTTGAGGACTCTTTAAAAGATCTCAACTTTGCCATGTTAAAATATCCCAAACTCTGTAACACTTGTGGTAAATCATCTTCGATTCAGACATAATAACAAAGATAAAAAGTCTGAAGAAGAAAAGGTTAGGGGCGCCTGGGTGGCTCAGTTGGTTGAGCGTCTGCCTTCGGCTCGGATCATGACCCAGGGTCCTGAGATCGAGTCCCACATCAGGCTCCCTGCTCAGAGGGGAGACTGCTTCTCCTTCTGCCTGCCACTCCCCCTGCTTGTGCTCTCTCTATCTCAAATAACTAAATAAAATCTTTAAAAAAAAAAGAAAAGAAAATTCTTTTTTTTTTTTTTTTTTAAAAGTTTTTATTTATTTGACAGAGAGAGAGATAGCGAGAGCAGGAACACAAGCAGGGGGAGTGGGAGAGGGAGAAGCAGGCTTCCTGCCGAGCAGGGAGC